TGGTGTCATGCGGGATATGGATGTAGGAAACACACTATAGTGTGGGATAGGGATGTAGTGTGTATCTTTGTAGGTTATGTAGAGTGTGTAAGGTGGGTATGTATGTAGTGCGGGGCTGCCCAACAGGTAGATCCCCAGATGTTGTAGAACTACAACTCCCATGATGCTTTGCATGCCTTTAGAATGCCTCTAGAATGACAAAGCATCATGGGAGTTGTAGATCTACAACATCTGGGGATCTACCTGTTGGGCAGTCCTGATGTAGTGTGTATAGGGCACATAGTGTGGGGTAGGATAGGGATGTAGTGTGTGTAGGGCACATAGTGTGGGGTAGGATAGGGATGCAGTGTGTGTAAGGCACATATTGTGGGGTAGGATAGGGATGTAGTGTGTGTAGGGCACATAGTGTGGGTAGGATAGGGATGTAGTGTGTGTCTAGGGAAGGATAATGATGTAGTGTGTATAAGGAACATAATGTGGGTTGGATAGGGATGTAGTGTGGGTAGGGCACAGTGTGAGGTGGGACAGGGATGTGGTGTGGGTAGGTTACGTAGTGTGGGGTGGGATAGGGATGTGCTGTGGGTAGGGCACAGTGTGGGGTGTGATAGGGATGTGCTGTGGGTAGGGCACATAGTATGGGGTCGGATAGAGATGTAGTATGTGTAGGGCACATAGTGTGGTGTGGGATTGGGATGTAGTAAGTGTAGGGCACATAGTGTGGGGTGGGATAGGGCACATAGTGTGGGGTGGGATAGGAATGTAGTATGGGTAGGACACAATGCGGGGTGGGGTGGCAGAGTGAGGTGGTGACAGGTAGCAGAGGGAGGGAGGTGATGACAGATGACAGAGTGTATGAGGGAGGTGGTGACAGATGGCAGAGTGAGGGGTGACAGAGTAAGGGAGGGATGTTGTGACAGAGTGTGGGAGGTGGTGGCAGAGTGAGGGGGTGACAGAGTGCTGGAGGGGGTGACTGGTGACAGAGTGAGGGACAGAAAGGAAGAGACCTGGCAGAGAGCAGGTAATGATGCCAGGTCTCATTCAGTGGGAAGAGGGGGGTTATGTGCAGAGTAATAGGTTGCTAGGGCCCTGCACTCCATTAAGAGATTTTTAAGAAATTTGCCGTTCCAGTGGGAGAGATCTCCGATAATTGTTGACATGTTAGATCTGGTTTTAGTTCATTTTCACATTTACTTTGTTATGTAGATTAGGTCATTTTGTATCTAAGAACGTCTTTTATGTGGACAATTAAAACCAATTATCAGTAATTCTACATATTAAGTAGGTATACAAGTATTTGCACAATGCTCAGAGTGCAGTCCATACTGATTTTTATTATTTTTGCATGAGTCATATTGCAATATTAGGAAACAGACCAGCCATTAAAGGGTTAACCTTTGTTAAATTTTCTATGGTTTAATGTTATTCTCCACCTGGAACAAATCTATTGTGATTGCATTCATGCCATACTACTAAAGCAGGGGTGCCCAAAAGGTAAATCCCCAGATGTTGGAGAACTACAACTCCCATGATGCATTGCATGCCTTTAGAATGACAAAGCATCATGGAAGCTGTAGTTTTAAAACATCTGGGGATCTACTTTTTGAGCTGAGCTCAAGAAACAAAGGCTGGAAAACCCTGACTCATATCTGGACAGCCCAAATTGCCGCATTCCTTATTCCACTCTTTGCTGCAAGTGCCATTGGGCTTTTTAGGTGTGGGGTGGGTACCAGATTACCATTACAGGTAAATCTGGTACCTGTTGTTCTTTTTGTGATTTTAAAAGATAACTGGGTGAGGTTTACTATTGAAACTGTCTATTAAGAGTGAGTACTGCAGAATTATACATTTGCATATATTATCAGAGTACGTGCTTTATCAGACTAAATGTGATAATGTTCTTTATTCCACTGTCCACTCATTTTATTATACTGAGCTGGTTTTCACATTCAGTATGTTCCCCCATTTCATTGACCCCCTGCTCAAATCTATTCTTAGTAGAGTAACAGAATAAGTTTCCAGGAAAACACCATTGATCCTTAAACGTTTAAATATTTAATAGAAAGGGGGATAAAGGAAAAGGCAATACTATTAAAACTTTCTTTCTTAATAAAAGTTATATTTGGGTTTTAATATAGAATTGAAATGGTTAAAACAAAACCTTCATATATTCTTTAGTACAAGTTCCACAGTCCATGTGTACTTGGCAGAAAATAAAATATCATTCTGGATTTAATTTAGTCTGAACTTTTTTCCAGACACAGCATCATTTGCAAAGTCAGATCCCTAAAGGTTCGGTGAGGCAGTCATAAAAAGGTTCATATAGCCAAATATTTTAACCCTTGATTGTAGTATCTTCTTAGTGCATTGTATTTACACAGAAGATAGACCTCCTTGCTAATTTGTTGTATATGCAGGGTTATTCCATTCAAAGTGAATTTCAATTTTAAGATTACAATAGCCAAACTGAAAGTGTAACAACCTTAAATTTTTTTTTACAGTTCTGTTAATTTTAAATTTACTTTGAATTCTCACTTTAGTAGAAACCATGATGATACAGTCCATTTTTTTAAAAATTCAGGAACATCTTACCCATAACATATTAGACTTTGTACATCTTTGTTTTTAATTATTCGTTTTCTCCACTCAACAGAAACTACAAAATGTGTTTTGCAAAAAAAAAAAAAAAATCATAAATCTTCCTAAAATAAAAGTTTTAGTTAAATCGCATTTATTAAATCCCAGTTTGCATTGAAGTTATACAATATAGGTAAAACAAACATGCAAAATGATGCAATCGCTAAAGGCAATTCAGATTACATATAGATATGGACTCCATAAGGGGGGCGTGGCTTGGACGTCGACCAGAATGGTAGCATAAGTTGGGAGCTCCGCTCCACCGGTCCTTATTGAGCCCTATTAATCAGCCTACTTTTGCCTCTATGGGTCGGAACCGCCGGGGTGACCCTCCCGGGACCCCCAGGGGATCCCAGAACAGTCAGTTGCTTGGTCCGATGGACGGATTTCTACAAACGCCGGCGGACGCACGAGAAGAGGCCGGAGGCTCCAAGATGGCGGCCGCCTCCCAACCGCATGGGGACCCCCCTACCTCTACCCTGGAGGGCATCGGTGAGGAGCTCCGCATGATTGCGGCTTCTATAGCCACGAAAGCTGACCTTTTGGTCCTCACCACCACGATCCAGGACGCATTGCGGGCCGAAATGACGGGACTCCGAACGGAGGTATCCGCACAGGGGAGTCGTATCCAGGACTTAGAGCACTCCCGCGAGGCTCACGCGGCCAGACAAGCAGCTACTGACACGGCCCTGTCACGGCAAGGTGACCTGCTACTACAATTGCGAAGATCGGTGGAAGATCTCGACAACCGTAGCCGCAGATGTAACATCCGCATACGCGGCATGCCGGAGGCGGAGTGCGATGAGAACTTAGACGAAATTCTAACAGCACTCTTCCGCATGGTCCTACCCAGAGATGCCCCGCTGGAACTCAGCTATGATAGGGCGCACAGAGCCCTGCGACCTCGTTCCCTCGAGGACGGCCCACGTGATATTATTTTCTGCATCCACTCGTTTGCCACGAAGGATGCCATAATGAAGGCGGCCAGAGCACAACCTACATGGGACTTTCGCCTGTCTCATTGTTTAACGATCTGTCTCCAACTACCTTAGAAGCCAGGCGCGCGCTGCGCCCTATCACATCTCTGCTCAGGACTCGCAATATTCCCTACAAGTGGGGCTTTCCATTTGCCCTGTCGGCAAGACACCGAAATGGCTGGGTGTCACTCCGCGGGCCGGAGGAAGCCCCCGGTTTCTTGGAAGCGCTAGACCTCCCACCTATCCAGATACCGGATTGGGTCCTGGGCCCCCTGGGGGCAGGCCAGAGGCCGCAACGAGCACCCCGCCGCCGCAGAGGCCGATCACCACCGGAGCCTGCTCACCGTGACCGCGAGGCATGAGGAGGCCAGGTCTGAGGACCACCTCCCCGCCGTTCCACTGCTCAGGTACCACCATTCTGCCCTACAGCACCCTGGGACTGACCGCTGGTGCGGTGCCTCTCTCCCCCCATTTCTCCCCCTGTGACACGTAAGGGCACGCCACGACCCACACAAGATTAATATCGGGAGAAGGTCCCGCTTACTTGCACCTTGGGAGGGCCGTGGGGTGATTTGGAATGTCCCCTCTCCGTTACCTGAGCTCCTCAAGCGGGCACTGCATCCGGACTGCACGCAGAACGGGACATTTTTTTTATTTTTTATTTTTTATTTTTTTAAATTTTTAAATTTTTTTATTTTTCTCTCTCCCCTGCCATCA